GGCCACTGTGGGTGTACCCCTCAGCCAGTCCCTGCCCTTCCTCCTCCTTTCTGTCAACTCTTGCATTCCCCCTCCCCAGCTCCCACTCTGGCCCTTCCCTGTGAGGTCTGAGCAAGGCTGAGAGAAGCATGCAGACCCTGGGAGAGCTCTCTGGCCATCGCTGCTGTCCCCAGAAAGGACAAGGTTCCCTCTGCATTCAACAAGTTTTCCCAAAAGGCTCCTCTCCCCTGCTGTCTCATGCCAGAGTAGCTTCTAGGCCTGGTCTGGTTAACAGGACCTAGGGACCCACATGAACTTGGACCTCTGACCTGTTCTGGGCTAACCAAAACTCCTACTCATCCATCACTCTGCGCATGCACACGTTGTCTATGTGTCTTTTTTTAAGCATTATTTTTCTAGCCCTGCCCAGGAGTGAGTGGCTCCTCCCTCATCGAGCTGGGAACAGAAGTAGGAAATGGGGTTGAAAGAACGTGCTAATGACCACTGCCTGCCTCACGTTCCCTCCCTAGAGCTGACAGTGCAGATCTCCCAGGAGACGACTGCAGATGCCATCGCCCGGAAGCTGAGGCCTTATGGAGCTCCAGGTGTGGTCCTGACCTAACGAGGGGTGTGGAGGGTGGGGGACTACCCTAGGGGCCCCTTACATGCTCCTCTCCCAGCTTTCTCTTGGAGTGGTGAGGATGACATCAAAAAGGGATGGGGGCCTAAGCAGCCACAGACCCATCTCCATCCAGCAAGCTGACTTAAAGTGGGTGCAGGTGCCCAGAACAGGCAAGCTGAAAGTGATCAGACCCCACACCCAGATGACTAGGAAAGTAGTGGGTGGAGAACCATCCAGCATGGTGCTGGAAAGGCACCCTGTGTGGTTCTGTTGTGGTCTTACTGCCCTTGACAACAACCCCCGGGAGTGGGATCATTATCCTTTTACACAAAGGGAGGCTAGGGCTCAGACAGGTCAATAAACTGAGTGGGTCATCCAGCCAGGATCAGACTGACCCAGGCTCAAGTCCCACTCTGCTCCTTCTCAGCAGGCTTCTCCCTGGTCGTGGGATCTGGATGAGCTCCTTCCCCTGAGCCTGTTTCTTCCTCTCCTCTCCTTCCCACCAGGGTACCCAGCCAGCCATGACTCATCCTTCCAGGGCACCGACACAGACTCATCGGGGGCACCCTTGCTCCAGGTGTACTGCTAACCCCTGCCAGGCCCAGCTGCCACACCGTTTCTGGGAGAAGCACAGCCTACAGAATGAAGAGGGGGACCAGGAACCCCTGCGGGAGGGGCTGGGCCTTAGACCTGAAGCAGTGCCCACTCTGGCTCCTCCTGCCTTGGCTGACTGGGTTCCTGGACCATGTGCATTTCACTGGGCCATAGGGTCTACATCTCTTTGCATCCCCAGCTGGTCTGATCCCTGCCTGGGCCTCTTCCTTCCTGCTCATGGTCTTCAGGTGGCCTGATCATGGAAAGTAAGGACTTAGGCATTACTTTCTGGGAGTGAACCCTGACTCCATCCCCGTATTGCCACCCTCACCAATCATACAAACTTCTCCCTCCCTGGGGGAATTCAACGGCTAAAAGAAGCTTATCTTAAATATATTGTATTGGGGGGTGGGCAGGGCCCACTCTATGTTATGTTAAGCAGTTGGTTCTGGTTCTTGGCTGATGTTCTGTATGTTAACATGACCATAGTTTTAAGGAAAAGGTAATTGGTATCTGCCTGCTTATCTTGGCTGTCCTTTCTCTCCCGTCTGCCTTCACTTAACTGCTGCGCAGAGCGGGAGACAGGATATGGGTGTCCAGCCTGGCTTAGTGCTCTGCAGTTGAAGTAGGAAGAATAAAATGGGAGTAATGCCCCCATTTCAGGTTCACTGTGAGTTCCAGGAGATAAAGAACCAAGCACAGAGTCTGTGCCTGAGAAAGGTTGGATAAATGGTTTCTGACACTGTTTGAGAGGTTCTTCGAGGGAGACCTGTCTGAACTGCCTCCGCTCTCCCAGTCCACCACCTGCAGGCTGGCCTGCTTCTGCCCAGCCCCGTTTCCCCAAAGCCCTGATCATTTGTTGGCCCTACCCAGCCTTGGACCTGATGCTCCTCTCCCACTCTCTCTGTGGTGGTAACAGAGTACTGTGGTTTTCTTTTTTTTTTTTTTTTTTTTTGAGATGGAGTTTTTGCTCTTGTTGCCCAGGCTGGAGTGCAATGGCGCGATCTCGGCTCACCGCAACCTCTGCCTCTTGGGTTCAAGCGATTCTCCTACCTTAGTCTCCCGAGCAGCTGGGATTACAGGCATGTGCCACCATGCCTGGCTAATTTTGTATTTTTTAGTAGAGACAGGGTTTCTCCATGTTGGTCAGGCTGGTCTCAAACTGCTGACCTCAGGCGATCTGCCCACCTCAGCCTCCCAAAAGTTCTGGGATTACAGTGTGAGCCACCATGCCCGGCCAGCACTGTGGTTTTCACCAGTATCTTGGCTTTTTCAATAACCTTGGAGAAGGGATATTATATTTCACAGAGAGGAAACCTGGGGCTCACAGTGAGGTCAAGGAACTTAGTGGGACACGCAGTTGGTAACTGTGGCTCTGGCCTTGCTGGGGCAGACGCAGAATCCCTTCTTTAGGTATCAGAGCCCATGAGTTGAGAAGGATCCTACTTGGCTGCTCCTCACACGCAGGCTTATCTACTGGTCCTCTTTCAGCAGAGAGGCCAGGGCAGGCCCACCAGCCCATTCTTAATTAACCAGCTAGAAGGTATTGATCCAGCTCCCACATGACCCGCTGCCCCCACCGCCCTTTTTATTGTTCCAAAAGGCACCCTTTGGAAAGTAACTACTAGACAAACTGTACTTGTTTGTCCAGTTTCCTAAGGAAAACAGGATGATCTCTCGGGACTATGAACGTAGGGTCCAGTTCTAACTCCAGGCTCTGCTGTCGCATCCGGGTGGCCTCCACAAGACTAAAATGACCACAGGGCAGAATAGGAGTAGAGTGGGAGTGACACCACAAACCCTCCACTCTAGCCTCAGCCGTAGAGCACCATTTTCCAAACCTAGCCTTGTAAACCACTATTTGCATTCCCAGAAAAAAAAGGTTTAGCAAGTTTGGAAAACAAAGCTATGTACTGCATAGCCTCTCTGAAATCTTTAACAAGCTATTCTGAATTTCTTTTTTTTCCCCGAGACAATCTCGCTCTATGGCCCAGGCTGGAGTGCAGTGGCGCATCGCAACCTCCGCCTCCCAGGTTCAAGTGATTCGTCTGCCTCAGTCTCCCAAATAGCTGTGATTACAGGCAGGTGCCACCACACTCAGCTTTTTTTTTTTTTTTGAGACAGAGTCTCGCTCTGTTGCTCAGGCTGGAGTGCGGTGGTGCAATCTCGCCTCACTGCAAGCTCTGCCTCCCTGGTTCGTGCTATTCTCCTGCCTCAGCCTCCTGAGTAGCTGGGACTACAGGCGCCCACCACCACACCCAGCTAATTTTTTGTATTTTTAGTAGAGACGGGGTTTCACCGTGTTAGCCAGGATGGTCTCAATCTCCTGACCTTGTGATGCACCCGCCTTGGCCTTCCGAAGTGCTGGGATTACAGGCATGAGCTACTGTGACCAGCTACTCTGAAATTCTAAAAAAGACATCTGCATTCCAGAAATTTAGGGGCCAGAGAACTAAGCACTCACAGCAAGTCAACCTAGACATTCTTGCTATAACCTCTGTGGCTCAAGCATTCTGACCTCCATCCTCTAGCCAAAGTGGGGCAGGGGTCAGCTCTGTGGGCTGGATCTGAGCAAAGGGGAGCACCTCTTCAGCCCTGGGAACTAGCTTTGAGAAGGCCTAGAATCTGCAGAGGTCCAGGTCAGAGATAAAAACAATGAGGCCTCACTGGACTTTACTCTGTCCTCCTGGTAAGGTCCCTGTACCACATACACACCAGATCTGAGGCCTGAGCTGTCTTCCTGGTACCCCTCCCAAGCCAGGCAGTGTCACCTTGGCCCATGCTGCTCTTCTGTCCTGGTACACAATAGTCTCTAGTTTGAATACTTGATTCACGGCTAGAGGGCAGACCCACTGCAGTGGGCAGTGAAAATCAGATCAACAAGTCCAGCAGTCTTAAAACTCTGTTGGGTCGGCCGGGCGCGGTGGCTCAAGCCTGTAATCCCAGCACTTTGGGAGGCCAAGACGGGTGAATCACGAGGTCAGGAGATTGAGACCATCCTGGCTAACACGGTGAAACCTCGTCTCTACTAAAAAATACAAAAAACTAGCTGGGCATGGTGGCGGGCGCCTGTAGACCTAGCTACTCAGGAGACTGAGGCAGGAGAATGGCGGGAACCCGGGAGGCGGAGCTTGCAGTGAGCTGAGATCCGGCCACTGCACTCCAGCCTGGGCAACAGAGCGAGACTGTCTCAAAAAAAACAAAAAAAACAAAACAAAACAAAAAAACCTCTGCTGGGTCACGCGCCCCTTTGAGAACCTGACACGTGTTCTGGTCTCCGTAGCCAGAAAAACTCAACCTTTGCTCAGAAACATACACAGACTAAATGCCTTGTTTTATTTATTTTTTTGAGATGGAGTCTCACTGTGTCACCCAGGCTAGAGTACAGTGGTGCAATCTGGGCTCACTGCAACCTCTGCCTCCCGGGTTCAAGCGATTCTCCTGCCTCAGCCTCCCAAGTAGCTGGGATTACAGGTGTGCACCACCACACCCAGCTAATTTTTGTATTTTTAGTAGAGACTGGGTTTCTCCATGTTGGTCAAGCTGGTCTCAAACTCCTGACGAGGTGATCCGCCCCCCTCAGCCTCCCAAAGTGCTGGGATTACAGGTGTGAACCACCATACCCGGCCAAGCCCTGTTTTAATCTTCACTTTAAGTAATGAGAAACTGAGACCCAGAAAGGGCAAGGATTTGCCCTAGGTCACACGGCAGAATCTGGGCTAGAAGCCAAACTCCCAGTTCCCAGCAGCAGTCGTAAGAGGCCTGTGCCCCAGAGAAAGGCCAGAGGCAAGAGAGGACACAGAAGGAGCTGGGCAAATTGTTTTAATGTGTAACAGTAGGCCAACTGGGGAGGACAAGGCCCCAAGCCCCAGCCTTTCTCCTGATGCCCTGGGACCTGTGTGCCTGGGACATTCCCATGCCTGCCCCAAGCCCTGAGGCCCACAAGTCCCAGAGAAGAGTGGGAAAGTAAGTTGGGTAGTTGCAGCTCAGCCCCAAGAGTTCAGGGAGGAAAAAAAAGGGGCTAGTTGAATTTAGCCTTGGAAAAATCCATCTCCGGATGCTGATCCATGAACCTGGAGAAAGGGAAGCAAGAAGATGAAACAACTCATCCTTCTCTTCTAAAGCTGTCCCTTCTCCCAGCACCCCCGTGTCAAGTCTAATCTCTTTAGACCTCAGCAACACCGAGTCAGGCTGGGCAAGAGCAGTGCCCAGGGTATCTGAGACCCATTTGAGCCCCGAGGTTGGAAGCTGAGGTGCCAACACTGGCACTGTTTTCCTGTAGGTGGCAATGACCCGCCTGTTACCCCTTCCCTCCTATCATGAGCCATGAGCCGGCCTTGCCCTCAAGATGACCTCAGCAAGTGACAAGAGTAGGCAAGCCAAAGCCATAAAGCCATAAACATGGCTGGAAAGGGGGCAGGGCAGCTCCTGAGGCAGCTCAGTGATCCACTCACTGCTGTCACTAAAATCTAAGCCCCCAGGCACCCACCCTCCCCCAACCCCTCTTGCTCACTTCTTCAGAATCTCCTGTTTCTTCTGTTCGTCTGAGGTTGGCAGCCCCATGGACTTCTGTCTCTGGTCATACATCATCTTTTCCACCATGCTGCGAGTCTCACTGTCCAGGTCTGACAGCTGAGGGCAGGCAGTGATGGGAATTGGTGAAGCTCTGGAAACACCTAGGCCCCTCACCCTCCTGCCGAAGTTCTCCCAACCAGCCAGGGCTCACCTTGGAATTCTCAGGGTTAATCTTCTTGGTATTGATCTCAGGGTCACTGGACACCAAGCGGCTCCACCACTCCATCTTATTGATCTGTGAAGAGAACAACCAGGGGGTGGGAGGTGGCCTGCTCTGTGCACCAGGAATCACCCCTTAACCCTTTCACAACCAAACTCTCTCTCATCCATATCCTGCACCTGAGACCCCTGCAGGCCTATACTGGGTCCAGAGGTACAAGACTGCCCTTCCTGCAGCTAGGGGAGACAGAGGCAAACAGTTACAAATCAGTGTGATAACGGAAAGAAGAAAGCAGAAAGGGAGATATTCATCCCGGGTGGAGGGAGAAAAGTTTGAAAGTGACACTTGGGCTGAGCCCTAAGACACAAAGCAGTATTCCAGATTTAAAATGGGAAGAAAATTTTTTTTTTTTTTTGAGGTGGAGTCTTGCTCTTCTTGTCCAGGTTGGAGTGCTGTGGCACCACCTCGGCTCACTGCAACCTCTGCCTCCCAGGTTCAAGCAATTCTCTGGCCTCAGCCTCCCGAGTAGCTGGGATTACAGACATGCACCACCCACCACACCAGGCGGATTTTTGTATTTTTAGTAGAGACAGGGCTTCACCATATTGGGCCAGGCTGGTCTCAAACTCCTGACCTCAGGTGATCTGCCTGTTTCAGTCTCCGAAAGTGTTGGGATTACAGGTGTGAGCCACCACGTGCAGTGGTGCAGTCTCAGCTCACTGCAACCTCCGCCTCCTGGGTTCAAGCGATTCTCCTGCCTTAGCCTCCCAAGTAGCTGGGATTACAGGTGCCTACCACCATGCCCAGCTAATTTTTTTATATTTTTAGTAGAAATGGGGTTTGCCATGTTGGCCAGGTTGGTCTCGAACTCCTGACCTCGTGATCTGCCCACCTCAGCCTCTCAAAGCACTGAGATTATAGGCATGCGCCCCACACCCAGCCTGAAAAAGTTTTTAAGCAGGGAAGTGCCAGGCGTGGTAGCTCCTACCTCTAATCCCAACACTTTGGGAAGCCAAGGCAAGAAGATCCCTTGAGCCCAGGAGTTTCAGACCAGCCTGAGCAACATGAGACCCTGTCTCTACAAAAAACATTTAAAAATTAGCCAGGAAGGGTGGCGCTCACAGTTACTCAGGAAGCTGAGGTGGGAGGGTCGTTTGAGCCCGGGAGGTCAAGGCTGCAGTAAGCCGTGATTGCGCCACTGCATTCCAGCCTGGGTGAGTACAAGACCCTGTCTCAAAAAATAATAAATTTAAAAGGCAGGGAATGGGCCGGGAGTGGTGGCTCATGCCTGTAATCCCAGAACTCTGGGAGGCCAAGGCAGGTGAATCACGAGGTCAGGAGATCGAGATCATCCTGGCTAACACGGTGAAACCCCGTCTCTACTAAAAAA